ATTCGAGAGTAGAAGAGAGGAGCAATTGACAAATGACACTTTTTTGAGATTTCGAATTTTTGCTGAGCAACTTTCTTTGTGTTACTAAAAACCGTATAACCTACAATGTATGATCTGAATCGAAGTTATGTTCTCACATTGAGAGCATCTCGAAAATAAGAAATATTTTTACTCTTTGTCATAACGCCAAAGATTTTATCTTAAACCTCTAAATCTAGATATATGGTATATTGTAACTTTGTATAATTTTGGTGGCTGCAACCCAGGCAGAGAATCAATTACGTGACAACCCAACGAAATCCATCGGTTTGGTCAAAGAGACCTAGTTTGAATGACCTTAACGATATTGAGAAAGTAGATTAATCTTATGAAAACTGGCATAAAAAAATGATTTTGTTCTATAACATTACGAGACCACAAAGTAACTATTGTGTTSAACAAGAAAATGTTCACCCACACCATACCATGGGTTTAACAMAACACAACTAATTATCCTTAGCTCAAATCCAAAGCTAACCAAACCGAAATGAGCACATAACATTTTTTTGTATTGCCAACTTTTTATTTCAATTGAGGTCACACACAAAGCTGGTTTATTGGATCAATTACTGAATACACCACAAATCGATTGCAATCAAACAAAATTACACGCGGCGCACAAAAGCCATTGATATCTTCAAGAAAACAAAAAACCACCCAAAAAACGCATATTACGAAATTATGAGAAATATTCAAATAAATGCTTACAAATTKTATGTGAAAGTGAACGCTTTCGCGCCATTAAACCTCGAAAAAGATATGCATACATATTCACATACACACACACATTCGCTTTGGATCATTAGCCAGCGCARTCCAACGCACAAGCAACCTCAAGTGTAACGCCCAACAGACAATAACAAARAGTGTAAAAGAAATTACAACAACAAACTAAATAACCACATGCGCACAACAACAATGCTATAATCATTTATCATAATCATTGTGATTGATTCGTCTTAAAAAATTATAAATCAGGAAATGTGCGCAACAAGCGTAGCACAACAACAACAATGCGAGGCAATAGAGGCATAAGAAATGCGTCAGCGTAGCAATATTTTGCGGCTGCGGTACGAATATTGGCTGCAAATAAAAACCGATTCGTTCTGGTCATAAAACAGTGAAGTGCTATGTGCGCGAACGCTGATGGAGTGAGTACACCAGCAGCAACAAGTCGCTGTGGCAACCGCAAAAGCAGAGCACCAGAAAAAATTATGAATTGAGAAAATCGAATTTTTACGCTTCGATCCAACCGCAAACGCCGCAATGATTCGCACAATTACGAACCGCTGCTTGATATAATCATAATGCGCGCACTCGTAGCGGCCACTCTACAAGTAACCAGGCTAACTACCGCTAGCGAGCGAGCCAGAAGAAGCACTCGCACTATTTGCGGCGAGAGAGCTTATAGCGTTTCGCGCCTATTAMCGCCATTGAACGCAGAACGAAACCGAAGCGCTCGTTGCTGGACATTGGTGTAAAAAGTGAAAAAGTTGCACGAAATTTGTTGTACGTGCCACGGGAAGTGATGGAACGTGAGGTGCGGATAGCAGGAGTGYCAGTTGATATTCAAGACCACAAATMTKTAATCTTAAAATGGTTACGGTTTCGGGKACTTAAAGCACCTTGAAGACTGTATCAAAGACATAAGTACTGAGGTTCACCTGAGGTTTGTCGCTGAAGTCAGCAGTTGGACCAGTAAAGCGTCTTTATTGTGAAGTTGAAGAAGGAAAATTGGCTTATTATGGAGTTCTGGACTCACTATGAGATTATGAAGTATATCCTTTTACCTTTTAGAGTTCTCTTTTTTTTTTTAAGCGGCACGCCATCTACAATGTCTATGAATCTTTGGAGTTAATTAAAGACATATGGACATACGAATTACTTCTGAGGATAGAATAATGCATATTGCATGTCTTTTAGTGATTCCACCAATCCTTACCAGTCAATATTGATTTATTAATACATGAAGACCAACCCTGAGACTCAGACAGAATAATCTAACAGACAGATTTCTAATCTTCAAAATTTTCTCACCACTTTTTAGGCAAACTAAGCTGACGTGTAACTCTGGGAAATACTCCCAATATACAAATCATCAAATCTGTGTCAACTGCATTGATTAAGCCCGCTCTCCACCCCGGCACAAAGTGCCGCTTGCAATACTAAATATGATATAATACATAMAGATTTTACAAATAACCAAATCCTTGCCACTAATCTTCTCAACTCAAACAAGCCACACTTCTTTTTCTCTTGCAGATCCCAACGGCAACAGCTGCGGCACTTAATCATAGACTGAAACAATAAAAAAAATAACAAGCGAAGCGACTTCGTAGCCGCCAACTGCCAAGCATCAACCAGTGACAGCTACTGCCAAAGTAATCCGCTTGGCAACAGCTGTCACCACTCAGCTCCGTACGRAAAATGTTTCCCCGCCTGCCCGGTRCAATTGGAGCGGATATCTTTCTCGGTGCCACCACCACTGTGCGCACAGTATTCCCAAACTCGCGTCTAGACTCGCTATCCGGCAACAGCGGCGTTGGCGACGGCGGCAACAATGCGCACCATCACACGCACCTTAGCCACCAACAGTCGCAGGACGGCTCCGCCACGCCAGCGCCCGCTTTTGGCAATCAGCAGCAATCGCCGTACGACTCGCCCAACAACAATAACTTCGCGGCCACAGCGACGTTGGATGCGGACAGTGGCGGTGGCGGTGGCGGCGTCAGCAGCAGCTTCAGTCCACTAGGTGCCGCAGATGCGGCGCACAATAATTACCTGCCCGAAGACGATGCAGACTGGTGGTCGAATGCCATCGAAGAGGACACTTTCGACTCGCCGCTCGCGTTCGATAGCAGCGAGAATGGTTTGTGGAATGGGCGTTTTGTACCGCCACCACCACGCCCACCATTCCTGGATGACGGCGTCGCCGCGGACGGACTTACCACCTGTGATTTATGTACGTGGGCATGGCAGCGCAATGCCTACTCGCTAGATGGATCGATTGGTGAGTAATCAGCGCAAAAGCTAACTAACCGCATATATACTATACATCCGTCTATAAACGCTAAAAGTATAGCATAACTATAACAATAGCCATTTGATAGGCAAAAGTGGGCTGTGTCCACACTACTGGCGTTGGGTGGGTTTCGCATTTTTGCTGTCTCAACAGCAATTTATTGTGAAATGAGGATTTATGCGAGCGGCACATTGGCGCTAGCTTCGCTTTCGTGTAGCGGCTGTCAGATAGGCCTACCTCTTTTTTGTTCGCTAACTATTCGATCGGCGGTTATCTCATCTTTCYCATTGCGCACATTTATTTTTTCTCTTCACTTTTCAATTAAAAACGTCGAATTTTTTATTCCCTTCCCTTCTTACCCTTTTGGCTTCTTAATCTGCCCACTTGTTGCGCGTTGCGCCGATTTCCACCGCCATAACAATCGATGGCGTAATAATTTATCGCTTCGATCGCGTCTAGCGATTTATCAAATTTTTAGATCTGYGCACTAGCGCTTACTTACTCAACGATTTAGTCTGAGCGCTGTGTTTGCTGCTGGGAAGTAACTTGATTGCGACTGCTTTGCYTGCCACTTGTTGCATGAGCGATCCGTTAACTCTTTTTTATATATTTTTCTTAGTTCTTATAAGGTATCTCTAAGCTTAGAAATATGTACATATATTTACCAAAGGTATTATGAAATTTGGTAGTTTTTGTTAAATTTTTGTATGACAACAGAGAATTAGACTTGTTATCGATGCGACCTAATGACAGGTCTGARCAATTTCGTTTCTAATGAAGTTATTTTAAAAGAAAAAAAGATTTTACATTTGAAAGAGAATGCGAGCGACTTCAAACCTTATCATCTTGTTCCGTACTCCAATTTTCCGACTACTTTTGGATTTTAGGACCTTGTTGCAAGCTGTAACATGTCGATTTTTACGACAGCCAATTTCAGGTATACGCATTGAATTTCTTCCGTTCAGGCATTGTTATTTGAGATGTCGAGATATCTGATTTAATTCGGATAACATCAATGCTACTCTATTTCGTTTATTACTCTCAATATTATGACAGAACTAATCTCTTCGGGCCCCAATTGAGGTCAAACGACGAAGTGCGGAACTTGTCAAATATAAACTACCTACTCCCAATTCCAGAMTCTCCCACGGAACTACCTGATGAAGTATTACTTCGTAGGAGTGATAAAACATTTAAGTCTCCTCTACGGCACGGACTGACGGACGAATCCTCTGCTCTATATGTCTAAGTTTTGTCATGCTTGAGACTGCCACTTGGCAGATAGCTTTCCAATTCTCAGTGGACTGGTACATGAGTGCCGTAAAATAGCGAGGACAATAAAAGAATACATACTTAGAGTCTTCGAAGCACTCAGCACACGTCGGACAATTCTGACTGTGGTAGTGTCGTGCTGGAATCTATACAAATAGCTTCTAAAGCATCCACGTTCACTTAGTATTTGAGTTCGGTGGAAATATAGATCCCCATGTCGTCTGTTGATCCACGACTGGGTGTCCGGTAACAGTCTGTAGGTCCCTCGTCCTTTGCGTGAGGTGTCTACTCTTTTGGCTCCTATAGCTTTGGCTTTGATAGCTTGTATAATCGMTCGTATTATTGGCTATTTCTTCAGCAACAACACTTGCTATTGTTCGGAAAGCACCGATCACTCTCAGTGCCGACAGCCTGTGTGCACTTATTTGTCTCGTATATGCTTTAATGCCTAGCGCCTGGATGCCTATTGGAGCCGCACACACAACCACACAAGACTACTGTCTTTTGCTCAGCCAGTTCTAAACTCGTTAAGGAGAACCTTTCTCACAGATCGTTTATGCATTCAATGCATTTTCGCCAGAGGGCATCTAGGTGTTTATCCACTCCAACCATAATAAGGTCGTCTGTGTACGCAATTCATTTAACGGCGTTCGGATCATGTCTCATACATTAGGTTCCAAAGAAGGTTAATACCGAGCCTTGCGGAACCCCTTTCGAAATAAAATAGCAATTGGTGCCTTCATCAGTATCGAATAATAGTCACCTRTTTTCAAAATAACTCATAATAATTCCCAAAAGATATTGAGAAGCTCGTATGTCATACAGAGCCTTGATTATATTTGAACACTTTGCTGAGTTGAAAGTATTCTTCACATCCAGGGTGATCAGCGCACAATAATTTTTTGTTCCGACTTTCCATCCATAGTGTGCCTATGGTGGACCAATTTTCATAAACGAGACTGTCTTTCTGATAATCCGACAGCTTGCTAACTCCAAGCGGTTTCTTACTACGCTTTCGTAGGCTTTGCCAATTGTGTCAAGGWTGCACAGAGGTCGATATGATGAGGGTGCCATCGAAACCTTTTTTGATTAGGAGTATAAGAATGGGTCATCAGGCCACAAAATAGATTTWAAAAAATGTGGCGTCTTCTTCCTCATTTCCTAAGGATAATTTMTAGTGCAATTCGCAGGAAGCAATTAAAAGCTTATGCATTAGTGCGTTCACTTAAGCCATATACGGCCTACATTTATAATCGGTTTTGAGCAACTTCTGTCAGCTTTGCCAAAAAAATTTACTGAAAAATATCTGAGAACCGCCACAAAAAGGTTTTGCCACCTTCGGCTCATAGCCGCACAACTATACACATTATGAAACCTAATCGTTAGGCCAGACCCTAAATTTAAGCTAATAACACACGAAGCACTAATAGTCGGCCAGCAATATATTAATCTCGCACCTTTTGCACCACAATGACTCGGCGAAGTTTTGGTTAGCAGCTGCAATTCTAGCGAAAGCAAACGCTTCAACAAAGTAATCCGCGACATGGATTCGCACTCATTTGCTGAAGTGMAAAAAAATGTGATTTGGCCATTCATTGCAATAAAAACTGAACACACACAGCCATGCACGCGCACAACGATTCATAAGCCGGCCACTAACAACCCTATAAAAAGCGCCGACACACCGCCACCACACACACATACAAATAATATTAATTTTAAATGCGCTCACTCGTGATGTCGGCGGCCGCATTAGCGCACATATGTATGGGTGTGTGTGCGTGTGTGTGTGGCGCGTAAGTGTTAATCACACACAACCTGATTACATGGAAATCCGTCCAGCTACGCCTTGTCTGCTGTTCAGCGCCGTCGCTGTCGACACACACGCATACACTCACACATGCGGACAGTCAACAATTCCACGTAAATGCCACTTAATGACCACCACAGTTGTCGCACTTCTTTCACCTTAACCCTTGACTCGTCACTCGCCTGATTGCATGCTGTTTGTTGCTTAATGGTTGTTGGTTGTTGTCGCCGTTTGCTCGACTTGCACGTCACATGGGATAGCGCGGCTAAATTGAGTCATTATGTGTTTACAAATTTCGCTACCCACATACCCACACACACACACACGCGCCCTTACATAGAGCGGGTCCACTTAACTCTTCCGCCAACGAGTGCGTGTCAGAGAATATTTTTCATAGTCGTTTTCATATTTGATTCCTAATGACGAATTCAAATGAATTCGCTTGGCGCCCAGCCTTGTGTTGTTAGTTGGACGAGTGGTGCCACTCTGGTGGTTGCCACACCACTGCCATTGCAGCCACACTRCTGTCGTCGTGTGTCGTTATCGTTAATCTGTTTATGGCATTCATTGTTATGCGAAATGTCGATTTGCTTGGTTAGTCGCTTTTGTTATCACGTAWGCAGGCGTGTGTATTTGCATGTACTAATGTCTAATGTGTGTGTGTGCGTGTGTTTGAGTATTAGCGTCGAACTGGGCACTGGCATGCCACAAATTTAGTATTCGACGTTGGAATGGTGTCAACCAATTTGCAAATTGCGCTCAAATATAAGGCGACAAACACAGTTTTTAACACCACCTCAGTGAATTGTTGCCATTAATGGCATATGTGTGGATAAGCGCCGTGTGTATGTGTTGCCCTGTAGGAAAATAACTTAGTCAAGAGTTAATTGCTCAATTAATGTTGCATAGCAAAGGTGTAAAGTCAACAGTTTTTTGTCGATTTTCGATATCAATGGAATATAAAGACATGTGTATACACAAAACCGAGTCACTAATGACCTTATACATTTTTTTTTTTTAATTTAAAAATATAAAATGTTAAACTTTTTGAAAATTTTATTAAAATTTTAAATACAAAAATTAATTATGAAGTATAAGATATAAATATAAGCTATAATATTCCTCACAGCGTAATTTCTTATAATATAAAAGCGTTTAAAATGTTCTTTATCTAAAGTTTGATCGTCTATTTGTATGGCAGCTATGTGTTATAATGGTCAGCTCTATGGTGGTTATAGCATTGTCTTTCACGATAAGCCTTCCTAAATTTTGTTAGGATACCTTGTTAAAGAAAATTTTTTCCATAGAAGAACTTTTTTTTTAGCGATCAGTTTGTATGATAAGCATATGTTATAGTAAAACGATCTGAACAATTTCTCGGGAGATTATACCGTTGTCTGGATAACAAACCATGCCAAATTTTTTGAAGATATTTTGTCAAATAAAAAWTTTTTCCATACAAGGACTTCWTTTTGATCGATCAGTTTGTGTGTCAGCTATCCTCTATAGTACTCCGATAAGAACTATTTGTTCGCAGATTAAACTACTACCTAGGATAATAACATGTGCCAAATTTCGTGAAGATATTTTAACYAATAAACAACTTTCCTATACAATGACAGCATTTTAATTGGGCGATTCCTAAGACAGCTAAATCCAATAGTGATCCGATATCGACGGCTTCGAAAATTTAGCAATTTTTTGGGATGAGGGGACGTAAATGAAGTTTCAAATCCTTTTCTTGAAAACTGAGGGACTAGTTTGAGTATATATAGATGGAAGAACGTGTCTAAATCGACTTAGCTCGTCCCGCTGAACATTTACATATATATACTTTATAAAGCGTCCGACGTTATCTTATCTGTTATAAACTTCGTGACAAACTCAATAAACCTTGTTCAGGGTA